TGACCCGTTCAGAGGTCAGCAAGGGAGCTGTAGCACCTCGTGAGGTAAGCGTGACGACCCCTTCGGAGGCCAGCAAGGAAACTGTAGCATCATGTGAGGTAAGTGTGATGACCCGTTCAGAGGTCAGGACGGAAATGGAACAGCTATTGGTTGACCTTCAATAACAAAGACGACATAACCACTGGCACTATGGGACTCCTCGGGACTGCTCCCGCGACAAAAGCATTGGTAGACGCTGGGCAGAGCTAGCACTCAAACGCCCGAGGCTTACCTTCAGGATATTCAACATTCCGGCACCTTTCTTTCCATTTTAGGAAGACGACGCCAACAAGTCGCGCCGCCACGGGCCATCTGTCACATTTTGCGTGGCACATCTATGCCGCCGTGGACAGCCATCCTCCGGAACATGTCGAGATAGTGTCTAGTGTTATGATGTCAAGGCGATGTAGGCCGCAGTAGTTTTGCAAAACAATTTGGAAGTTATGCTGATTTGAGTAAAATTGCCGTGGACGATGACACACCCATCACATGGCATGGCGTTCTCCACTCTTGGCAGCACCTGGCTATCGTGTCCCACTTTTCAGGGAGGCAGAGAACCTGCTGACTCTGCTGCACCCATCAACGAGGACAATCCAGGACGTGGCCGCTGTCACTACCGTCACGGAGCATCCACCCTACCTCACAGGCACCACGAGTACCGTGGACGACAACACGGGCTCTCTTAGCGAGCCAGAGACCAGTGCTTTCTCCCTGTTCTTCATCCCCGGCCCAGCGTCCTTGTCTGCTGCATCCTCCGTCCTTGTCCGGCTCGACAGCGTCCCCCCAGCCGCGCCGCGGGACGCCGTGCTGGACAGCCCACACAGCTCCACTGACCGGTACGGCAGCCCTCCGTCTCGCAGTCCGTCCTCCCGCGACTGGCACAGAGCCGGCAGCACGCCGACGGGCGTCCCGTCACCGGGGAGCTCCTCCAGAAGCTCCGGCCTCACCGCCGACGAGTCCAGCGCTACGTCCGCCGTCCCCAGCGCGCGCGGCGGCCAGCGGCCCTCCGGCACCCCGCCGCTGCCGCGCCGCCCCCTGGGAGCGGCCGGCGGTGCGGCGCCCGGGCTCCTGGGGCTCGGGATCGGCCCGGGCGGGGCCGGCGCGCGCGAGGGCAGGACCTACGCCGCCCTGACGGTCACCACCATCACCACCTCCACACTGACGGTGTCCGTGGCGTCGACAAACTCGGCCACCACGGTCAGCCTGTCCGTGTACTGCACGGTGCCCGGGGTGACGACGTACCCACGCTGCTGACGCGGCTGTCGGGCCAGCCGCTGGCTGCCGATCGCTGGCTCGGCCGACGGGCGGCGCGCCGCACCGGTGACAGGCTCGGCTGGTCGGCCCAGAGGGCGTCTGCGAGCTCAGGGGCTGATGGCTCAACAGGCGACAGCTCAGCCGCCGCCGACAATAGCTCAACAGTCAACAGCTCAGCCGCCGGTGATAGCTCAGGAGCCGACAGATCATCCGCCGATGATAGCCCAACAGTCCACAGCTCAGCTACAAATAATAGCTCAACTGTCCGCAGCTCAGCCATCGATAGTGCAGTTCGTAGCTCACACAGTGATTATGGCTCTCAGCAGTACATCGCTCAGACGGTGACGGAGGTTGACACCACGGCGGTGTGGTAAGATACTTTTACACGCCTGGAAGGCGGAAAACAGTTGCAAAGGCTCGTTGAGGCTGGAACAATAAATGCTTTTGTGTGCTGCCGGTCTATGATTCATTAAATTGTCTCATATCTGTTAGAACGCGCATAAGGATGTTATTGATCAGAGGTAAACCAGCAGCTTGAGCTAAACTTTACCGCAGCCGGATAAAAACTGAGGTACAGAGTACCCGTTAAATAACTCGGACCCAGCAGGACTAAAGCCAGCTGGGTGAGACCTGGCATCGAGATTGTCCTTTCGTGTGAATAGCCACAGCATCGCTTGGGCCTATTGCATTGCATCCCGCCTGTTGCCACATGTTCTGAGAAATCTGTCTCCAAGTGTTAAGGTATTTTACATATCTTACTGCGGCCTTACAGCGAAACTCCCGGCGTTTGCACGCGTCTCTTCCCTGAGATTGGCCACTTATGTTCTGCCAATGCTTTCGACTGTCATTGGTAGCGAGCAACGCTGTGTGTGTGCCTGCGAACGTCAAAGGCAAAACGCGTAGTGGCAATACAAGTTTGCGCATTGTTTATGGGGTGACTTGATCTTCCTAGTTTATGCGCGTAGGCTGAAACAAAAACACGGAGAAACGATGGCAAGGCGCAAAGCAAAAACTCAAATAAAGTCAAAGAAAATAAAAGTCCAGATTGGTGTCCGGAGTGCCCCAGCTCTTCTCATGAAACCACCGTGAATCTAGATACCTGTTCTAAGCAAAAGGTCACTTATGCATGTTTTAAGTCGGTGACCCTGACCTTTGACCTTTCGAAGGTCATGGTGGCCAAAATCATGCAATACTACTTTGATTTGTGCTTTTGAATAAGCTTTATGGCCTACGCTAGATAGTATGTTTCTAAAAACAAGACGTTCACCTGGGCCATTTTAGGTCAGTGGCCTATTCGGACCTTTAAGAAGTCCATGGAAAATGCATAATGCGGTTTCTGTTAGTAATAAATTCAAGACGAGCACCAGAAACCACTCCATACAGCAAGCTCTAGAGTAATAAAACCAGTTGGCTTGACGTTGGTGTGATCTTCATACCTGAGGAAGGAAGGCAACTATCTATACTATATAACCTGAGCTAAGAAGCTATCACAGGGTTGTATGGCATCGCTTAACACCCAGTTGTTGTATCAGATTGGGTGATCTATTAAAAGTTATCTTCGCTGAATCCATGGCCTGACCTTGACCTGCCGTAGGACAATGACCTTTCAAGTTGCATTTGAATTTTTGATACCAAACGATTTTGTTTTCATAGTTTTCTACAGCCATGTAAAATTTGGCGCGGCTGCGCCGCACCGTTCAGAACTCATTCCGGGAAAACCTTTGAGGGTGGGGAGTCAAATTGACCTGCCGTCCGAGCGTATGCTAGCCATCAAGTTACGATTTGGTCTAGACGATGACTTAAGCACATATGAGCGACTGAATCAGGGTTTATTGATGCCGACTGTGTTGTGAGCACATACATACATTTGGTTGACGGTTGATTTTTGTGTTGTTTTTTTATTAGGTCGAGCTACTTCGACCTATCAGTGGGCCATTGTAGAAATATAAGATGTGGGAGGGAGGTTACATGTTTGGTCTGGTTTGGTTTGGATTAAAACCTTTTCGGCTGGAAATAACCATTCCAGCGCTATGGATGAAGGAGGGTAGACAGCGGTGGGGCAAAACTGCACGCACCTGGCGGTCCATCCGCCGCGACGTGGACCGCACAGGTGTCTTCGTAGGAGACATGTGGTCGGCACTCGGACGGGGCGCCACCAATGAGCGCTTACACCGACTCACGGCTGGTGCATGTAGCTTGCCCCGGTTTCACGGGAAGTCACGGGGCCCAACACAGAACGATAATGAAAAAAGACGGGCGGATCGAGGTCACAGGTGGGACATGAAGCATTTGCACTGTAACCATCGTACCTTGAACACAGTACACATGTCCCAAGGCAGGGAATCCCGCGTGCTGTAGCTACGATAAGTGGCAATGGGCACATGCTGGAGCGGGACCGTCAGCGGGGACAACCGCAAGCCGCTCTGCTCTAGGTGGCAAAACCCCGGTGCACACCTCTTTAGAGGTGTGCAAAGATGCAGGCATTTTGCGAAAAGATGAGAAGGCGCGAATGGGCGGTTCCGAGTCAACAAGGTAATCAGAGATGGCGTGTCTAAATCACCATTATTCTGCTCGAGGTTCGCAAACCCATCAGCTCGGCACAATTTGAGTGCGAACTTGTGACTGATGGATGGTAAACGGTGTTTTGCTGGCAATTTGGCCCACATGTTCCATAAGGTGCATGAGACATCAGCAGCACCTGGTGCCTGTACTCATAGTAGATATCTTCGGCGCGGTACCCTAGATGGCAGCACTGCAGCACAGGTTGCTGACCTTTAGCGAGATGAAGTCTCCGCCCAGCCGGACGATAACATAGTCGGACGTCCGCGGATGGATAAGACCCGCGGGACGCGTGCTAGCAGTGCCTCTGTAATTCCTCTTAGGTTTCTGCCGCACTCGTCACGACTGTTTTTGGCCTTGACATCGCCGGTGGAGCCAGCGGTCAGTGACTTGGTCAGGGTGCCTGAGGGCTTTCTGCATAGTTGGCCGCAGCGATCGTCCAGTTGCAGCTGGCAGAGATTGAGCGGCGCGGCAGAACGTGACGGAAGAGCGGACGCCAGGAGACCTGCGATGTTTCTGCGCGGTGCCGGCTGAGCGGGGAGACAGCATCCGACTGTAGGGGGGCAGCACAAGACTGAAGTGTCGAGCGGCAGAACTGTACAGCCATGTAAGTCAAACGACTGGGTCAGGTGAGAGAGGATCTGTAGATGCTTTGCAATGGCTGAAAGAGGAGATCACAAAGACTATCGGTTCTCGTTATGTTAAGCTCTTCGTAAACTATGTTAATGACCTGCTGTTATCTTGATTTATTGTTGTAGCAACCAGGTTATGTTACATTGACTTTGGCGAGGATGACTATGCTCACTAGAGAATATTGCATACAATTTTAGTGCCTGCGTTTATTTTTGTTACTTAAATGTCTTGGTTTATTTAGCTCCTACTTTGCATTGGTAGGCTTGCGGAGTACAGATCGCGATACTTATTTGCGCTCGGATTTCCCGCTGCTCACATATAGAATGACTGGAAAATCTTACATTCGAAAGCTATCAGCTTTTCTGTTTTGTATCTCTAGACTATTTACACCATGGCCATGTGCATCACTTGCTCACTTCAGCTGGTAGGCGCCCCATGCATTATATCGGCTCGCGCGTCTCGCTTTCAGGCCGAGCTACGGACGGGTGACCGTGATAGAGTGGACGGCATTTCATCTCCTGACATCTGTCCTCGCAAACGCCGCCATCATCACAGCAGGCCTAGGTGCGACCGGAGCGTGCACATTTGGACGCAGCCCGACGTTCTTGGGAAATTGTGTGGTGACATCCACTTAGCTGTTGTGTGCTCTGCGAGGGAATATCCCCTAGCGTTGCATCCTATGGACTTGATGGTTATCCCTTGTTCCGCCGCTGGAGCGTAGACTCGTTCTGTTGTTCCATCGATCACCGTATTCGACTAACTTAACCATAGGTGTATCAACTGCATCCTGTCATGTCAGACCTCGCGGCATATTTCACAGTACACAGCATCAGATCCCCGCGACATATTCTCCAGCACACAGCATCAGATCCCCGCGACATATTTCACAGAACAAAGCATCAGATCACCGCGAGATATTTCCCAGTACACAACATCAGATCACCGCGACATATTCCCCAGCACACAGCATCAGATCCCCGCAACATATTTCACAGTACACAGCATCAGATTCCCGCGACAGATTCCCCAGCACACAACATCATGTCCCCGAGGCCTATTTCACAGCACACGGCATCAGATCCCTGCGACATATTTGACAGCACACAGCATCATGTCCCCGACGCATATTTCACAGCACACAGCATCAGATCACCGCGAGATATTCCCCAGCACACAGTATCAGATCCCCGCGACATATTTGACAGCACACATCATCCCTGTAATATCATTTCTCTTCCTCAGGCACTGACCGGTCAGAAAATGGTTTGGAGTACGCACAGGCGTCATCTTTTCACTTGCAAGTGGCTTCAGCGCGCAATTATAGCTACATCAGGCTTAATGGAAAATACGTAAGTACAACAAACCGTACGTGGGCTTATTAGTAAAACATTCAAAGGCACGAAAACCTATCTCCGCTAAACTGCTTGCGTGGGCGGCAGCCATCAAATGCACCGCTGATATTAGCATTAACACTTCATATTGCATTCAGTTCAGCTCCCATTCGATTGGCTCTCGATGATAAGACGATGATAAAGCCATTGCAGATGTGTCGAAAGGTTCTTACTTGCATCATGCAACAGAACAGCGCGGCAGCATACCATTTTTAATTCAAGGACGTGTCCATTATGCATCGATTGACGATTCTTATTATAAACGTATGCCCGGCAAGGTGGTGGTATGTCTCTTACCCAGTTATCATACCTGTCCGTTCAATGTGCGTGAGCCCAAGTAGTGAAATGCGCTGCAGCACCCGTGTGTCACCTGCAGCCGTCGTCTGGCTCGCCACCTCAGCCCTGCGCCCCCAGATCCACTACGAGGAGTACTCGGACCGGGACCACAGCGGGCTACACATGCTCGTGCTTCACCCAACCACGGGGGCCATCATGGCCCGCCGCTTCAACCCGGGACACTTCGGCGCCGGCTTCACCGACATCATGGAGTTCCTGCAGCGCGTGCAACCCGGCCGCATTCTCGTCTTCTGCTCACAGGTACGCAAGGGGTCACCGGCGACAGATGCCGCCAGCGCCGGCACGCGGCGACGAAGATCCCTTCGTCGGAAACGATGTCAGAGCCTTGCACAGGTCGGGTTATGAACAAAACCAATGTGTGGATGGCATGGCAGAAATGCAATGTACGATATGTGTGTAATGCATATGATGTGTTGAACTAGTCACGCCTCAAGTAAAGGTGGGCCCATAGCAGCATAAAAACGTACATTTTATCCAGTTCTGCATAAAATAAGCTAATTACCAAATCTAGTTAAATTTGCTAGTTAATTAAAAAAGCTCATTAAAAATAAACTCATTTTGGCTGAACAGACTTCCACTGTGATTGTCCGTTTTACCTGCAAACATACAACCACCTGCCTAGCGTGAGTTTATACCATGTTTTGATAGCTCTCATTGTCATGCAGCGCTAGTTTCAGCATTCATTACGACGTTGAATTGTTCCCGCTCATTGTGCACCTGAAGACAAAGGAAAGTGGTGGTAACCACTATTGCCGGCGATAATGAACCATCCCTATTAAAACCATAGCACGAAACGTGCTTTTCAGGTGACTCAAGACCAATTCCAGCACACCGATATCCGGTTTCTTGGCCATGGCCTTATTTTTCACGATAGTTTTGCTATACACCGAAAAGCGAGAGCCTCTCGTGAAGCCGATTTGCCTCAGACCTACAGCCTTCCTCCCCCCCCCCCATTTCATACCATGCGAGATTTATATCATAGCTGATCAGGAAATGAGCCACACCCCAGGAGCAGCCTGTGTGTTGGCGCATTTTGGGGTACACTTCGTCGTTTTTCACCGCTCAGCCCTCCAGCTTATTTTGCAAAACTACTCCTCTGGTGCGTGCCGCTGCTGGGACGGCGGCCGGCAGCTGTTTCTCAGCCAATTCACGATCTCCTTATGGCAGCACGAGGCGAGCTTCAGCCTGGATGCGACCTCGCGGCGCTTCTTCGCGGACCTGTCGCCGTACCTGGCGACCCTCGGGCCGACCGAGCGGTTCGCGGTGGTCGCCCGCCAGGGCGGCGCCACGCTCGCCGAGGCCGTCGCCCGCCGCAAGCTCGGCGTCGAGCCAAGCGAGCCGCTGCTGCTGACGGTCGACGTTCCGGCGACCCCGGCGCTCGGTAGGTGGCGCTCGGAGCGCGGCGGGCCGGGCCGGACGGGCTTCAGGCGTGTCGAATGGGTCGGGTCGGCACGGCCGTTTGGACGGCTTCGGCGGCTATGTCCGTCAGGCACGCCAGACCAGTGAAATGACGAAGCAGTTCTAATGTTACGGAAGGATTGAAATGAGAAATGTCGACAACACGGATAGAAGAATTGTTTGGTATATCACCTTCGTCTGGTGTGCTGAGCACGTAATGTATATATGTACAATGGTATATATATATATATATATATATATATATATGTATATATATACCATTGCATATATATATCTCTATATATATATATATATATATACATATATATACATATATACCATTGTACATATACGCTAGGGAAGGATGATGGTATAAATAATAATTGCATTCGATGCACAAATCAGATCGATCATTTAAGCTAGTTCGGTCAGTCTGGTAAGCAAAACCGTTCGGATGTGCAGGCCAACAGACCATGTACTGCTTATTAGATTGGAGAATGTTGACATGCCTGAAGATGGTTTCCCTTCCCTTCCTTAAGACTATCGACGTTGTGCACGGCACATGCCCATTTCATGCCCACGGCTGTTGCCCCATTACCAGATTTTGGAACCGTATGTATTGTTTCTATGTGTCGATACACAATCGCCCCTCTAGATGGGCTCAGCCTCTCACTCGGCTGACAGCGGCACAGCGGCGTCACAAATTGAATCACGGTTACAGAGCCGCCTTTCATATTTGATTCACGCGGTATGAGGAGCGATGCATCATGTCTGGAATGCAGCCTGGCAACATTGAGAGCGAGGAACTAATCTCGAGTACTTGAAACCACTGCGAAAGAAAACAGCTTGTACCTTACGAACATGTCTAAGGATATCAATGCAAGCCAGATTATATGAGCCGGCACTGGTCCGCAGCCTCCTCAACACTTCAGCCGCCCACCCCTGTGTGCTTGCTGCCGGTCCAAACACCGTCGGTGTGTCGCTGACCGACAGGCGAGCCGTGCGCCTGGCCGCACGGGATCAAGGCCCGTCAGAGGACGCTCTTCTGCGACAAGCACGAGGGCTTCGGCCACCTGTGTAACTGCTCCGACCCCGACCCGTTGCACTACCCGTTCCGGCCGGTGAGCGGCGCCGCCCAGGCCGCCCGAGGGCCGCCTGCAGCTCAGCTCGGGCGGGCCGGCCAGACAGGCACCACACCACACGCCGCTTAGAAGGCGTACCATATGCCAATCAGCATCCGGGAAATACATGAACGAAACTTTCCGCGGCGTTAATCCGCGGGTCGTATGACAGTATGGTTTGACTGGAGATGCATTCGGACATTGGAATGGACAGCTGGGCGAGGAGAATCCCACTGCTATCTCGCGGTTGTGTCCTGAGGATACGTTGTCTCTTTGTTGTTGAACGGCTCTCTGACCGCGCTGTGTCCACTTCAGCTCCTTCACAACCGGACGTTCCCGTACCCGATCGCTGTGCTAGGGGGCGACCGGGGAACGTACCTCTACCGGTTAGTAGACCGCCGTCCAGCCAATCAGATAGGCCAGCTTTCAGCAAGCTGGCCTACAATGATCAGCAAACATACCGGAAACATACCGGAAACTGCAAACATACTGCAAACATACCGGAAACGTCAGCAGACTTAAGGGATATGGAATGAAGTTCTAGGGAGTGTGCCGGGGCATATTTAAGCGCATTAGAATGGGCCTTGTTCAAACGCATTCATTTACGAGAAGGACAACTGTGAACGACCAATGAATTCCGTTTTTAACACACGGCTGCAAGCATAGAATAGCTTTTCATGGCGCAACGGATGACTTTGTTTTGTCTTTTGTCGGTCTGGTTGGGCGCTGTGAACGACGCCGGACTGCCGCGACATGAGCACTGTGCGGCGAAGTTAGAAGCGCGGGTAAGAGGACGAGTTTGTCCGTTGTTATGGCCCTCGGTCCGTGTCTCATGACAGCACATGACACGCCTTGTTTGGCCGCTCGCCCGTGTATCCGCATCTGATATGAGCGCAGGGGGCAACCGAGTGACCACGAGGCTCCCCAGCATGTTGCAGACGCTGCTGCCCAACCGCGGTCTGAACCGCACCCGGCTGACCATCTTCATTCAAGACTACCACGACCAGATCCTGGAGCTGGCCGCGCTGCTGGACGTGCGGGTGGTGGTGCAGACGATGGCAGTCGACAGGCAGGTTAGGTCACGCGGCCACCCCGCCTCCCCCCCCCCCCCCCCACCCGCCGACGCAGAGGCAGACCCCGTGGTTCCCCCGCCGCAGAGGCAAACTCCGCGGTCACCCTCCGGCCGCCGCAGAGGCAGATTCCACGGTCACCCCCCCCCCCCCCTCCTCCCCCCTCCCGCCTCCGCAGAGGCAGACTCCACGCCGCGTCCGGGATGAGGTGGGGTGGGTGGGACTCCGTCGTTCCCATTGGGGGTTACGACGCACTCGACTGCCGGATGCTGTATTCAGGGAATTGAGCCCTGTTCCTGGGGTGGGAGTCTGTGCTCGCTGGCGCGGTCAGGCGGTCGGCCCGCACCTCGGAAGAAGTGGCTGTCTCCGGGGTCACAGGCGCGTCTTCACTGCTGTTTATCGATTAGGAGGGCTGCCACATGTTGCAGCGAACGCGGAGTATTTAGGGTTGGCATGCACTTCAGGAACATGACAGAGAAAATAAGAACATGACATGTGTGAAGGAATACGACGCAAGCAAGATCATCACACTTTATTTGGTCCTGGTGAAGTGTGTGAATAAAAAAGCAATCACAGCAGTAAATGATCACATAAAGTGTCGTTTTCCAGAGCGCCAAGATCAGCATGAACATGAAGAACGCCATACGGACATCGTTCGAGCTGTTTCCGGACGCTGACAAAATGATCGTCCTTGAAGACGATCTCTATGTGTCACCCGACTTCATCAGGTCAGAATTTGACCCTCAACAGGTGTAGCTACTAAGTCAGTTTTAAAGGCGTGTCACCTGGTCAGGATTTAGTGCATTGAGCTTTTTTACTCATGTCATTTTGATTTCTGATCAATATATGATAGCGGCATGCAAAAGGTGCTGGAGTTCGTGACGCGTCATAAAGACCACATTAAATGAACTCGGTGAAGAGCTAATACTGCACGCGTTACATTGCGCTGTTTTACAACCTGACGCTGTTTTCGGAAGCAAATGCGTATTTGTTTTCAGCTACTTCGCCCAGACCGCACCGCTGCTGGACGAGGACGTGACGCTGTACTGCGTGTCCGCCTGGAATGACAACAGCTACAGACACAGCTCCAAGGACCCAGCCCTGCTGTACAGGTCAGCACGACATCCTTCCTCTGAGCAACGCCGTTTCTGCAGCCACCATTCTCGTCATCTACCAAACGTTCTCCAGGTGGACTAGCATGATGCCGGCTTCCGGCGAGCGGCATTAAAGAGCATATGTGTGAGAATGGAGACCCTGTGCGTTACAATATTGGGGGACTCCATTGCATTCAAGCCGAGCTGGAATGTCCAGCATGTGTGGTACTCAGCTTCCCGTCTCAGTGTGGGCTCAAATGAACAGTTGAAGACGGCATCTTAATGAGGAGTACCTCGGCAAGGCTCTAGTAAACAATGGGCCTGGAAAGCTCAACGTGTTCTAAACAAAAATGTGAATACTATTTTCCAGTGCAATCCCGCGCACTTGAAAAAATTAACCAGAAACCGCACAGCGGCTGTATACCGCATGAATATCATTTTATCTACCGTTACCTGCGCTACGTCACCCAGACCGTATGGCCATCAAAGCCAGCCTTCTAACCGTCCTGGAACCCGGTCGGCACCGCGTCTGTACACGCCCGTTTCCGTTCGTCCGCAACGCTTGCCGTCGGCCATCGGCCGGACTCAGCGAAAGGAATGGTTAAATTCGATACCCGTCGGCGGTGATTGGATAGCGACGTCGCCACCGGATGCACACGGATTGCACTAGCGCAGTGAAATAAGAGTTTGAAATCTACTTCTAATCCGCTTAAAATTTTATCCGATTAAGCCGCCAGTGAAGCGTAGTGGTTGCATGTGATGCGAGTGCTCCATCGAGCCAAAGCTGCACCATTCGGTTGTTTTAGCAGGGGATGCGGTCTTGATTGACCTCGAAATTTGTCAGTGGTTCCACACCTAGCCAATCTTTTATGGTCGATTCCACTGTGATGAATTTTTATTCACCCTGTTATTGTGACCAAGAACACCAGTCCTAAATCACCTCCGCCATCTCCGGATAAAGAATATAAACCTGTCCCTTACAACATGCTCACTTTTAAGTATAGATATGCTTTTTGGAGGGAAGGCGACTCTAGCTAACCAAACTTACCAAATTGGTAAATCTGCTTTTCAATGCGTCGTTATTTCATTACGGAACGTTCGTGTGACGTGAGAGCCGCTGCCAAAGTGCTGTATCAGAGTTGCCGTTGTAGCGGATTGCGTGACTCACTTGTGGTATTTCTATGCACCGCAAGGCGGCGACACTGGTCTGTGTGTGTGTGTGTGTGTGTGTGTGTGTGTGTGTGTGTGTGTGTGTGTGTGTGTGGTGTGTGTGTGTGTGTGTGTGTGTGTGTGTGTGTGTGTGTGTGTGTGTGTGTGTGGTGTGTGTGTGTGTGTGTGTGTGTGTGTGTGTGTGTGTGTGTGTGTGTGTGTGTGTGTGTGTGTGTGTGTGTGTGTGTGTGTGTGTGTGTGTGTGTGTGTGTGTGTGTGTGTGTGTGTGTGTGTGTGTGTGTGTGTGTGTGTGTGTGTGTGTGTGTGTGTGTGTGTGTGTGTGTGTGTGTGTGTGTGTGTGTGTGTGTGTGTGTGTGTGTGTGTGTGTGTGTGTGTGTGTGTGTGTGCGTGTGTGGGGGGGAATTTATTTACGGATGTTATGTGTGCCTGTTTTGTGGCTTTTCCCGTGAGGTTCTTGTATATTCCGCGGTAAGAATTTTTTTTAAAAATTATATTTATGAGCGTTTCCTAAGAAAGCCGATTATTGGGCGCACGTCCGTCATGACAAGTAATTGCCCAAATGCCTGTGGTCATTAAAGACAGCAACTCGTGATCGTGACATTCTATCGGCAGCTCGAAATGTCTGCCGGCCAATTGCTTTCTGTCGTTTGGACATTTTCTCGCTACATTACGGCAAAACAAATATTACAGCGGCCATGATTTTATCTTGACGACGAGCATAACACAAACAATGAGGAGGGGCATTCGTGTGACATCTCTATGACGTTGTGAATGTCTTGGTCCACTTTTAAATGGCGACGCGAAATAGGCTGCACGATCTCGAAAACAGCTACATCAGTTCAAAACCGCATCCAAATGTGACACAGTCCCTGTTATAACCCAAGTCGCATGCGTCGCAAAATATCCACTCCGCCAATTAAACAAGCACATGCCAATGCTCGCTACGATGGCTTAAATTTGCTTCCTTTTGCAGGACTTCCTATTTCCCCGGCCTGGGGTGGATGATGAAGAAATCAGTACTGATGGGCGAAATGATGCCGGCGTGGAAAGCGGACTGGAAGGTAAGGAACACATTTGGCCCGATGCCTTGGCTTATGCTAGCCGAGGTCGTCGGGTGTGCTCTGGGTTCTGATGCCTACAGCAGCCCTTTTAACGTCACCATTTTTAAACAAGAGCCCAGTGCGGCACTAAATTGGAAGTGCACGGCAATGAAATAAACAATGGCGAAGCTTATCATTTATCGGCATGACTATCAAAAAGATCGGAAAACGTTACTCTGGAAACTTTTGTTTGGTTATCACGTGGCGTATCGCTATTTCAAGTTTGCGGATTTAGATCTACGGACCAAAACATTAAGTTCCGCAAACGCCAAATGACGGACAAGCACGTTCATGACGACGAAAAAAATCCGGAGTAAGCATGCACGGCTGTTCTGATTATCCTGATAACATAACAAGGGCTTTGTTCCTGCTCATCCCATTTTTTTGCACATTTCAGATCTCGTTCAAAATTAGGTCCCTGTGTATTGATGCTACCGGTAGACGGTTGATATAGACATGAAGTTAGTGCTAACATAATGATGCCACACTCTTTTCAATAAAATTTAGACATTTGTTGGTTTTTGCCCCAATGAACGTAAATTTACCGTTATCGGTCTTTTATCAAATAAAGATACGGGCGTTCAACTAAGACCAACGCGTGCGCGGATGTTGCGAATTAGTCCCATTAGACTCAGATAAGGCGTGCCATGATTCCATTCCGAATGAGCCAATGAGCTACTGAGGCTGGGAGGCATTGCAACAAGGGATGTCTATTTACTGGGTTGAGGTCGTTGCCAATCTTTTATGATGTAACTATGAAAAGCCAACCCCGGAAGAATCAACCGATATAGAAAAAGCTGACTTGTTGGAGGCAGCAAAATAATGGTACGAAAAAGGGATGTGTGTGTGTGAAATTGCGCACTGTTCACAAAGGGCGTATGTCAGATGTCGCTATCCCCCCCGCGCCCCAATCTAGAGTGCATCTCATTTTCTAACAAAAAAGCAACAACAACAAAAAAAACACAATGCAAATGGCGCTCATTTCACCCAATGTTAAAAGCTCGGTAAATTCCGTGCGTAATGTTTGACAACATGCTATGCTTTAATTCAAGGACTCTTAAGGGTCTTTCCAATTTTATTTTGACTGATGGCGTTTGTCACATCGTACTACCACATGTAGCAAATTATAATAGGGCACGCATCGCCGGTGTCCCCCTTCAACACGTTTCTGCCGTCCGCTCTCGCACACAGTGAGCAATGGTTGTGCCGTCGTCTCTGACTGACCGTTAGAAGTTGTGGGTCTGCTGTCGCCATCCCAACATGTCCGCCCCCCCCCCTTTCCCGCCCCCTGCCCCTCCATCCGCAGTCTGCCCGTCTTCCGACAGGACTGGGACTGGGACATGTGGTTCCGCACTGAAGTAGTGTCGCTGTACCGGGAGTGTATCATCCCGGACGTGTCGCGCACCTACCACTTCGCCTACCTCGGCGGCCACGTGTACAGCTTCCTGCAGCTGCAGTACTTCTCCGACAAGTCACTCAACACGCTGCCGGATGTCGAGCTGTACAATGTCTCTAGGTCAGTCGATGCACACTGCCCGATGTTGAGCTGTGCAAGGTCACCAGGTTGGTCGGGACACGCTGCCCGACGCTGAGCTGTGCAAGGTCACCAGGTTGGTCGGGACACACTGCTCGATGTTGAGCTGTGCAAGGTCAACAGATTGGTCGGGACACACTGCCCGATGTTGGGCTATTTAATGTCACCAGGTCGGTCGGGACACACCCGGTGTCCGACCGTGCAGGGTCACCAGGTCGTTCGGGACACACCACCTGATGTTGAGCTGTACAAGGTCACCAGGTCGGTCGAGACATGTGGAGCGGTGCAGCTCAGATGCGAAGCTGCACCTCCGTCACAGCCTCGGCCCAGCATGGGATCCGAATGGGATCCACAACCCCGACATGGGACTGTTGGGTACATGATGCCAGAAATAACATTGAACTCTTAATGTACCATTTAGCGGATTATTGGTGACAAAAGTCATTCAAGCATAAAGAAGCATTTGGACAGCTTATACCCAAGACAACATGGCGCCCGATCGACCGATTGATTTCCTGGTTACTGCCACGCTTAAAAATGATTAAAAAAGCCACACATCTATCTAACTGTGCCGTGGTAGTGAAGTGAAGATCTTTATACCCCAGCCAGGAGAACGCACGGTTGAATTATCCTGTTGAAGAACGGATGGCTGCTCCAACCCAATCTTATCCCCGTCGGTGCTGGAGCGTGCGGACTAAAGTATATTCTGTTCCAGCATGACTTACCCAAACTACAGGAGAGCTATGTACGAGATGATCCAGAAGAACCTCCGCCTGCCGCCTGGGAAGGTTTACTACCGGACATGCTTCGATATGTTCCCCGTGACGGAGGACCCCGAGGTGAGTCTCGGTGACTGGTGACGTACGGTGACGGAGACTGGTGACGTACGGTGACGGAGACTGGTGACGTGCGGTGACGGAGACTGGTGACGTACGGTGACGGAGACTGGTGACGTGCGGGGGAGAGACCTGGGTCACTTCTGAAGCAGCAAGCATGAATGGTGGCAGGTGACAGGCATAACGGGCTCATTATGACAGATGGAAGCTTATCAAGCTAGAGTTTCGTAGCCAGCAAGCTCTCAAAAATGTCGTCTTCCATGTAAAACCTCCTCTGTTTTAATGGCGTGCTTCGCCGAAAACTCGACTGGCGGCGTATAAGGTGATGCGAACATGCCAGGGAAGAAGTGGGTCTTCATAACAGCCTCATAGTATTCGACAGGGAATTGGGTCATTATAGATGGGTCAACACGTTAGAGTTGAACATGAACTGTCTCATTGGAGTAAAATAAACCATTCAGTCACACCTCTCCCAGGCAAATACTGAAACAACTGTGGCGTAAATCTGTCCACACGGCCTCAGATAAATACGTGTGATCAAAATGGTTCAAGTATTGATAATTTATGGCTTTTGAAAACTCAGCGACAATCGCAGAAACTGCAGAAAGGTTATAAACTAACCAATCTCATGGTCTGGAGGGCCAAAAAGGGACTAAAAAACAAGGATATTTTCCACTGATGATTGCTTCTCATCAGGCCATGTCTCCCTCTGTGCCCTGGTAGCGGTGACGATGCAAGTGATAATTTTCTGGCTCTCATGACGTCATCTCGGCGGATGCATCTACCGAAATACGTGCCGTATGGGATACGAGAAGTGTATGCATGGCTTCCGTCCATCTACTCTGCGGGAGGCAGTAGACTGTGGTATGAACGTCTCCGCATCATTGGCAGCCCAAAATGACGCACCTTCCAGCTGTCCGCTGGGCTATGGGCCGCACGACAGGGAAACTGGGAACTGAGCAGCTTGCCGTTTCATGAAAGTTACGTAGAACGTGCTGAAAATTACATCTCCATGCGTCTTGTCCGGCATTTCCACCGATCTGATTTGTGATATATGCCCAAATGTGTGCCGGACCTGAGACCCTCTGGCAGCGTTCGCTCGTGCATTGACAGTTGACGTGTGTTTTACTCGTCAAAGGCTCGTCCTGTCTATCCGAGAATTGCACTGTGCTGTCGAGCGCCGTTTGTTCTTTTACAGGAGAGGAAGAAAACCTACGTGATCATTTTTGAAATGAAACACGCTTACGACCGTGCCGCCATACAGAACGTACTGACGGTAAGCTACCGTGCTTGCGCGCGCGCTGTTTCCACACGTGACCTCCGTTTTCCCGTGTACTCGGTACCTTCCTCACCAGCTGACCGTTAGAGGGCGCTCCTAGCAATGACTCGCTGGTCTGCAGCTCAGACGGGACAGGGTGTGGGGTTCCTCCAGCAATGACTCGCTGGTCTGCAGCTCAGACGGGACAGGGCGTGGGCTGCCCCCAGCAATGACTCGCTGGTCTGCAGCCCAGACGGGACAGGGTGTAGGGTGCTCCCAGCGGCGGCTCACTCGTCTGCGGCTCAGACGGGACAGGGTGTGGGGTTCCCCAGCAATGACTCGCTGGTCTGCAGCCCAGACGGGACGGGGCGTGGGGTTCCCCCAGCAATGACTCGCTGGTCTTCAGCTCAGACAGGGCAGGGTGTAGGGCGCTCCCAGCGGCGGCTCACTCGTCTGCAGCTCAGACGGGACAGGGCGTGGGGTTCCCCCAGCAATGACTCGCTGGTCTGCAGCTCAGACGGGACAGGGCGTGGGGTTCCCCCAGCAATGACTCGCTGGTCTGCAGCTCAGACAGGGCAGGGTGTAGGGTGCTCCCAGCGGCGGCTCGCTGGTCTGCAGTTCAGAACGGACAGGGTGTGGGGTGCTCCCAGCGGTGGCTCGCTGGTCTGCAGCTCAGACAGGGCAGGGTGTGGGGTGCTCCCAGCGGCGGCTCGCTGGTCTGCAGTTCAGACAGGGGAGGGTGTGGGGTGCTCCCAGCGGTGGCTCGCTGGTCTGCATCTCAGACAGGGGAGGGTGTGGGGTGTTCCCAGCGGTGGCTCGCTGGTCTGCAGCTCAGACGGGGCAGGGTGTGGGGTGCTCCCAGCAGTGGCTCGCTCGTCTGCAGTTCAGAAGGGACAGGGTGTGGGGTGCTCCCAGCGGTGGCTCGCTGATCTGCAGCTCAGACAGGGGAGGGTGTGGGGCGGGCCGGGAGCGCGGTCAGTCCTCCGTGGACGGGGTCTGTGGCGCGGAACGTTCACGCGTCACTGACCCGCGCTGCCACCGTCTCACCCGGCTGACTCCAGAGATCATTAAGACATCGGGCAGACAACGCTTTGTTAGTCTTCACGAGGTGTTTTTGGCAGCGGGCTGTATAAGCCTCGGGACAGTGAGTGGGGAGGGTGGGGGGAGGCAAGATCCGTGGCTGCCCCCTTCTCGTGTAAGTTTAACATTAGCCTATTACGTTGCATGAAAGAAGTTGATTTCACTGAGAGGCTTCTCGGTTTTTGGAAGGCTTTTACAGCCATGGTGATTTCACAGCGTTGGCTACATTTCGGTAATGATAAGCTATAGCTCCTGAATGCCGTAAGCCACGTATCCATGGAATGGTTTGGAGTGACGAAAAAATTCTGCACCACGTATTGCAGCCTTTCAAAGGTGTTCCGATTGTTCAGGGCTTGTATGTACTGTGGTCTGTGATAATACATGATGTTGAAAACTTCCATACGTGCATCCGTTTGTTTGCGGTGTTTTTTCAAGTTAACGGCGCGGTGTCAACGCTACGGAGTACGCTTACCATACCGAGCCAATGGTGTGTATCGTCTAACACCTTATCAATTTGAGCAGCATGCGTGCCTTTGTCCACAGTGCCTGGGTTTGTGGGATACGGATGTGCGAGGCGAGCATCAGGGAACCTGGAGGTTCCACATCAATGGCAACCCAGTGATGGCCGTGGGCGCGCCTTACTCGGAGTATGCGTAAGCATTCTGCAGGAGCACGGACCCCGCGTGGAGCACGGAGCACGGAGCACGGACCCTGCGGGGCTGCGCGTGTCACTGTCGGCGTGTTGGCTGTTTGGACACGAACAAATCCTGAGCATTCCAAATACTGCTACTTCTGAAAAGAACTACCCGACTGAAAAGCGACACTAGATATGTCTGCAATCTTTAAGCATATTTGTCTTGATGTAAGAAGGAAAGTCCCTCAGTTTTTCGTTTCACTCGTTTTTCGGCATGATGGTGTTGAGTTTTAGTCCTGATTTCACGGTTTTCGATGCACCAGAAGCTCACGGCTTTCGATACACCAGGAGGTACTGGTTAGACGACGGTATAGTGCTAAGCAATGACTCCATTGGCGGTACTCAATTTACGACACACTGCGCTCATCACTCTTGACTATAACGAGGCCTGAGGATGAGTGCAGTTCGAAACGTTGAGTCCCGCAAATGTAACCGTTTTTCAGCACCATGACGTCATTTAGCCAGTATCTCCAGGCATACTGAAGGTCGTTAGGTGATTGGACTCTAATGCGAATGATAAGAGCTCTGAGCTTATAGAAATAGAAAATAGGAACTTTGAATGTATATTTCTGTCGACCCAGCACTTAAAGCTGCCAAACCCGCGTTGGAATTTCGGGAGAGCGATTTAGATTGCTCAGTAAGTATACTATCGTAATTCATAAGGATGGTCACCATGATGTAATCCGCATAGACAAGTAAAACTTAACGAAGCCGCCTTTACTAAGTGATACCTGTTACAAATTGGAACACTGAAATGCGTCGCTGGTGCTGGTTTTCTGCCAAGCTTTTTGAGTGAGCTGTTCGATGTATTCCAGCGGGGCGTGCGGCGTCACACTCACCTCTGACGTCATAATGGCGATGATTTCAGTGAGAGCGTGATGGGCGCCATTGGAATATCACCGGTTTTCGACTTCAAGCAATACAGCCTGACCAGAACAAGACGTCCCGGATCTAACGGCGAAAATCCCAAGGTCTGCAGTGTTTTACAAGATCAAGTTTGGCGGCAGTGGTTTTCTACAAACACGTGTTGAGTGGCGATGACATGCGGCAGCCTTTATGGAAGCACTTCGTATGTAAGAACAGGGCCCCACGAATCCTACTGTGTGCTTAAGCATAAGCATAATCGTACTGGTATATTATCCTACAAGTGAACTTAAACTCTCCCTCCTCTCTCTCTCTCTCCCTCTCTCTCTCGCTCTACAAGTTTACACGAAACGTTGTAGCGTGTCGTTTGGTTCCCTGTGCTCCAGTACCGATCAGATCAGTTTTGCATCCGCATTTCCGATCGTGAGTTCCTGATCGGAGAGTAGGCTGGGCGGCAGCGGTCCGCAGCTCGTGCACGAGCGCGGTATGTTTTGCTGATGACGCACCGCACACTGCTGCAGGTCGTGACCTTCGGCGTTCCCGACGAAGAGTATGAGGACGACTACAACTCCAAAATGTTCACCTATGATCATGATTCAGACTACAATGCTGCTTCAATGGTGGAATAATGCGACCAGTTAGCTGAAAAGCAGCTGCATGAACTCATTCAGCCTGATATACGCCATTGGAAACCTGTTAGCCTGGAACCTGAAAGCCTGTTAAACCGATCGCTAAGTATGTACGTGCATTGCTCCGTGCCATAGCTGTGTCGTCTATATGCCATGCTTACATTAAGTGCCTTCATGTGTACGGTAGTGATCGGCGACCGCTTTAAGGTGTCGGTTAGTGCGCATTGTGCAACAATAAAACTAGGCGGATCATTTCCCAGTCCATTACGTCATCGTGCAATGACATAATAATATGCTACAATGTCCATGCGGGCCCGGATGCCCCAATCGACGCTGCTGGCAGGCAAGGCGGTGACATCATGCTCGAGCTGCGTTTGAAGCACTATTACCCATTACAAAAACATGCATCGAGCGATTGCAGGGACGTACGGCCGTTCCCAGTTACAGTTACAGTTACAGACATACAGTTGATTAGATAGAGCTCGTACTTGTAGGAGAGCTGGCCGAACCCACGCCAAGTCCGACAGACCGTTCCTTGCTCGGGTCAGCAGAGTTGCCCCTTGCCAGACGGGGCCTGATGTTCGCAACACAACTCAGGAGGACCACAACGGACTGTCCCCACACGAGTCAAACAGACTGCTTTTTGCACGGGTCCAGACAAACTTCTTTACAGCCGATTTCATCGCGGGCAGTTTCTTAAAGTGACACTAGAGCTGTCCGCGCACACGCCAGACACGCTGTTCACCACATCAGCCAGACTGCCGTTCCCCACTCGCGCCGGACGGACTGCGCCCCGCACGAGCAAGACGCGGCATTCCCTCCTCCCGTCAGCCGAACAGACCCCCGCTCAGAGTCGGAGTCAGCTGTTCCGCACGCGGGCGCCTTCACACGAATCAGACGACCGTTCGGCGGATGACTCAGGCGGACCGGACCGGACCGTTTGGCGAGCTCCGGACCGGACGTGCCCGGCCGGCCGGGCGGCGCGAGCTGGCCAGAGGCGGCCGTTCCCAGCGGGGCAGCGGGCGTGACCGAGCACGGCACCGGTCCGCCGCGCGCCCCGGCCCAAGGCCACGCCGCCGCCGGCGCCGGCCGTACCCAGCGTGCTCTGCCTCCACCTGCCGGGCCGCCGGCGGCGCCACGCTCCAACGCCGGCGGCGCGGCCGGCGCCGGCGCCGCTCTGTATGAGTAAGCCGGCCTGATGCGGACCGATCCGACGCGATGATCTCGGCCACCGGCGGCGAGCTGGCGGACAAAGGACTTCCGGCGCTGGCGGCAGGGCAGATGAGCTAGCTGCGCGGCTGCGGCAGAAGGTCGGGGTAGGCCGGCGGTGAGAATCCCTGTTTGTCGCGCAGCGTTCCGAAAGCCGGAAGCCTGGGCACGTTGGGGACACGGGGAAAGGGGGGGGGGCAGGGGTGTCGATTTTGCTTTATCTTATGGAAGTCCTGCCCTCCCTCAAGGCTAAAATGGGCTCTAAATACCTTCTGCTGAAATATTACGGCATAAGGGAGAAAAAAAAGTTTGATATCAGACAAAGCCTTTTTGCGAAGACAATGGTCAGACAAAGCCTTTCAGCAAAGACAATTGTCTGACAAAGCTGTATTGGCATTACATGTTGTCCATGACTGCTTTCATACTTAAGAGAGGACTACTTGATAAATGTGACATATATTGAAAGAGAGAAATTGACGTCCATCAAAAGAAAGTTCATCAAAGTAAAGTTCGTCAAACGGTTTGACTAACGCACATGGCGATGAGTTAAAAATGTCGTTCATGAGCCCGGCATGACATCTATATACGAAAATCGACGCCCCTTGGCTGCGCCACACATTCTGCGGTTTCATCCCAGCCTTTACTTTTAAGTTGTTTTAGTTTTGTGTCATGTTTTCAGGTCGTTTGTCCTCGGTGATATCTGGAGCCTTTTTCTTCTTGTGCCACAAGCGCAGTGATAGTTATTCGTTATTCTGAGACTTCAAATTCAGACTGGAACAACTGCCGTTTAGGTAAGGACCGCAGTACAAGGTTAAACTACCGATTAACTGCTTAGCCGATCCTGGGATTCAAAACGTGGTCGAAATCCGAAGAGCTTGAACAGCATTTGTCATATGTTATTGGGTTGTCCCCCGTTTTGCTCCCCCGCTTGGCTTCAGCCGTATCCGTCAACTCCAGACGATCCCTGACCCGCTCCGTCAGGAAGTCCTGCCTCGCACCAGGAAAGTCGGCGCCCCTCGCGACGTCGCTGGACGCCGGCCGTTCACCCCCGATCGCAGCGCTGTTCCCCTCCGCCGGGAGGCGTCACGTGACCAGGCGGCGGGCGGGCGGCGCGTGTCACCTGACTGAGCGGCGTCCGGCCGGCAGTGAGCCGTGCTCGCGGGAGGGAGGAGGGCGAGAGGGACGGACGCCATGGCGGGTGTCGGGCGCGCGGCGTCGCAGTCGACAGGTGAGTGCTGCAGACGAGGGGGTTGTAAACCCGCAGGCTGGGCAAACAGATGTCTGCACTTTGCCTGTACACAGTGGCCACGTCTGGAGACCTCCGGCACCGAATGCAGCTTGTTTTAGTTTTGAATATGTTCGAGGTGTTTGTGCCTCCGGTAATGTGCGGACCCGCAGTCTCCTCATGTTGCGAGTGTAATGATGTTCGCAAATCCTATATTTGATATTAAGACTCAGCAAGTAGTACCTACAATGCGCGTGCGGCGGCGCCTTAGTAGTTCAAAGCTTGCGCGTTCACCTTTGGATGCCGGCGTGACGGGATCATCGCACGCTTCATTCGCCGTCACGCACCATGACCACGTACCACGCCGTCACGTTAATCTGACCCTTTGAATCGTGGTACCCTTTCACCGAATTCGTTGCGCCCATTTGACGCTGATGAGGTGTGCACATCCCCCGACCATTGTTTATCAGACGCTGTGAGGGCCGCCACGCTCGTCCCCGTCCTCATCCGCCTTGCTCTGCGCCAGCCTGACGTCCTGACCTGCCGCAGCCAGCACCGCTCGGTCGGTCGCGATGGCGGACATGTACCGGCCGCTGCGCCGTCCGTACTGGGTGACGCCCGGCCGGCCGCTGCGCTAGCTCCGGGCCGGCCATGCTCGGCTGGCTGACCGGCCGCCGGTCGCCGTCGGCCGTCCAGCTGCTCACCGATGACCCGCTGGCCACCATCTCGGCCGGCCTGGCGCACGAGCCGCCGACCGTCTACGGCGTGTCGCGGTGAGCCGCCGCGCCCGCCGCGCCGGCCGGGCCGGCCGGGCCGGGAGGGGCGGGGGACGCCGCCCGCCGGCCGGCAGGTGCTGCGCCGGATGTCGCTCGTTTCTCGGTGTCGGGCAGCCGAGCCGCGGCAAACGGCCGGCGCCGCTCAGACGAGGGCGGCCGATCGTCCCCCGACGCGTGTCTAACGGCGGGCGAGGCGGCGCCGGGCTGGGGATGAGGCGGCTCTAGGCTGGGGACGAGGCGACGCCGGGCTGGGGACGAGACTACACCGGGCTGGGGACGAGGCGGCGCCGGGCTGGGGACGAGGCTGAGGGACGAGGCGGCGCCGGGCTGGGGACGAGGCTACACCGGGCTGGGGACGAGGCGGCGCCGGGCTGGGGACGAGGCTACGCCGGGCTGGGGACGAGGCGGCTCCGGGGTGGGGACAAGGCTACGCCGGGCTGGGGACGAGGCGGTGCCGGGCTGGGGACGAGGCGGCGCCAGGCTGGGGACGAGGCTGGGGGACGAGGCGGCGCCGGGCTGGGGACGAGGCGACGCCGTGCTGGGGACGAGGCTGGGGGCGAGGCGGCGCCGTGCTGGGCTGCGTGCGAGGATGCCACACAGGTGGCAGTGTCCAACTACCGGATGACTATTCGTCACGTTATTTATGGCCGAAATAACCTCCGCGGCGGGTCGTCGGGTTCAGCGTCTTCGGTCGGCTCTCACGCTGTCAAGTATGAAGCATGTGATAATTAAGCGCGCTGTCTAATTATCCATTCCTGTCGTAGTTTCCGGCTTACAACGGATATAGCCGTTTCTTAAATGTAATCCCATGGCTAGCGTAATGACGAGGAACGACATCGATTCATTCATCTCGATTCAGCCGGCGTAACTGTGCCGATGTGCGTTTTTCAGGGTAAACCCTGTGTTTGACGAGGAGCGGTGGACCGGCGATGGCGGCGGACCGGACAGGCCGCAGGTGGCTCCCATCTCGCCCGTCTCGGCGCGGCGCTTCGTCGAGTACCGCGGCCCGCCGGCGCCCTCTGACCTCTGGCGGGATCCGGACCTCTGGTGGGATCCGGAGCTGCGGCGGGGTCCGGACCTGCCGGCCACCGCGCTCTGCACGCTGCCGCGCCCCGTCTGGCCCCCGGCGCGGACCTGCAACTCCACCGGGCATCCGACGGCGGCGCTGGCGCGGCGCACAGGCTGCAGCAGCGCCACCTGGCCGGCCGACCGTGGGTCGCTGGCCGACTGCGGCGGCGGCGGCGGCGGCGGGCTCCTCGCCGGCCCGCGCACGTCGCGTCCGCTCGCCGCCAGCGGTCGGCTGACGGCTCCGGGCCTTCTCGCCGCCCGCTGGCTGGCGAACGAGCGCGAGCCGGAGGAGACGGACGAGTCGGCGGAGCTGGGGGGCGACTGCGCACCCGACTCGATCGTGACCGACTCGCTGCTGATCCTGACGTCGCCGGAGCCGACACCGAGCGCCACGCTGCGGCCGGCCGCCGGGGCGCCGGCCGAGCCCGGCTACGGCGCGGCTCGCGGAGCGGCTGAAGTCGCTCGAGGGGAGGCCTCGCGGCTCGCCAGCCGGCCTCCGTCGGTCGGCGAGCCGGCTACGCTGCTGACCGGGGCGGTGTGCGCCCGATGCTCGCGGGGAGAGGCGAACCGCAGCCTGGAGACGGGCTCAGGCGTCGGCTCCAGAGCGGCGTCGGCCGGCGACGCCGCCGCTTCGGCGCGAGCCAAGTCGGAGGCGCTCGTGCGCCGCCTTTGGCAGAGGGCCGGGCCCCGCACGTCCACGGGGTCGGAGCAGGATCTGCTGCCTGAGCCGCAGCCGAGCTCCGCACAGTCCGGCGAGTACTATGAGGTCTGCGGCGAGCGCCGGGACGATGACAGCCTGGAGGAGTTGTACGCGTGGCCTGCGGAGCAAGCGGCGCACACGCGCCGGGTGCCGTGGGAGCCATCGTCCAAACTGAGCCAGCTGCAGTGGAAACTGCCGTCGAAACCAGACCGGCTGCAATGGGAACCTCCGTCCGAAGGAAACCAGCTGCCATGGGAGGCCCCGCCCAAGCTCAATCAGCTGCCGCAGGTGCCCTGGAAACCGCCGCCAAAGCCCGACCAGCTGCCCGAGAAGCCCCCATCCACACTGGACGGGCCGCCGTTAGACCAACCCTATGTTCTGAAGCAGCTGTCAAGCGGCCGACCCGCTGTACCTTGACCAGCTGGCGCTCTCCCAACTGCTGCAGCTGAGCCAGCTGCTGGTGTCGGCGCCCGCCTGCCAGCAACAAAAGCCGCTGGCTCAACCGCTAGCTCAGCCTTCGCACGTGAAGCGCTCGCTGGAGGAGCCGCCGGCCTACCTGAACCAGCTGCTGCCATCGGACGGCTCTGAGGGCGGTAGCGAGCGGCGGGTCACGTTCTCGGCCGACACGGTCGACAACGAGCCGGGGTCGGCCCGGCCGCGCCGGCCGCCACTGGGACCCGAGTCGGGCCCGGCCGGCCGCGCCGCCGCCCGCCAGCGCAGCGGCTACTACGCCGCCAACGTGTACGGGCGGCTGGGCGTGACGAAGGCGACGAGACAGGTGAGGCGACGGCGGTCGGGCTGGGGTCGGGTGAGGCGACGGCGGCCGGGCTGGGGACGGGTGAGCCGACGGCGGCCGGGCTGGGGACGGGTGAGCCGACAGCGGCCAGGGCTGGGACGGGTGAGTCGACGGCGGTCGGGCTGGGGACGGGTGGGGCGACGGCGGCCGGGCTGGGGACGGGTGAGCAGACGGCGGCCGGGACTGGCGGGCCGCGTCTGGTCCGACCGGCCCGTTCTCGTTGGGTGGGAAAGTACAGATCGACTCTGGCCGTTCAGGTAGTAGGAATCGCCTGTTCAGTTCACCTCGGGCTGATTGTGTAATGACTGGCACAATAACTAGGTGATTATTATCGCTCTGGTTTGATGTCTGAGAACACAGCTAGATTTGGAATACAATATGTTGGTAAAACGTGAACGTCAAACAAAGGTAAAGAAAGGCGGAATATCTGCGTGTTCTTCTCATCAGTTGATGCATTGGTCCAGGCGCACTTCACTTTTGCTGAACGGAATGCAGAGACATGACACGAAGCTGACTGTCAACGCGCGCCTGCAGGATCGCCACTTCGCCGACCTCTCGCTGGACGTCGGTCGGGCGGCGGCGGCAGCGGCGGCCAAGCGGCGGCGCGCGGCGCGTCGTGGCCGATCGTGGCGCCTCTGGCGGACGGTGTCGGTGGCGCTGGTGATCGCCATGCTGCTGGGCGTAGTCATGCTGGTCAGCTGGTACTGCGCCAGCGGCGAGCGTCTGTTCGGTCTGTGGTAGAGCTGCCGCGGCCGGACGCGCGGCGCGGCGCCGGCGGCGGCTCGCGCCGGCCGGGAGAGGACAGTCACGCTGGCGCGCCGCGTCACGACTCGCGCTTATCATGCCCTTCTGATGCTAGAGATGTTGGTAGCCATAAGCATCTACCCTCGGCTTTCCTCGGCGTGCATGACATATCATTTCCGCATGCATCCGGCTGCGGACGCGTGTGAGAGTGCGTGCGTTGTCTCCCGATCATGAGGCAGACCTGTCGCTCTGCACTGTTGTTCCTCTCTACCAGCTCAGCCCGGCGGGCAGCGGGCGCTGGATTCGGGCCCGACTCGTCTCCGTCGACGGGTGGACGGGGCGGGACTGTCCCTGTGTGTACGCCGCGTGCGTAACGTCCGCTCGCTTGAAAGAAGCTGATCTGTTCCCATACTCAGACAAGGCCGTGCTATCGTCGCGAGAGTTTGTACGTCACTAGAATATAAGCGATTGTCCATCGGTGTCGGCTTGTGACGTCTTCGGGGCAGTCTCGGGGAACGAGCGCCGCTTGACAGGCCGTCCAATGCCCGGCGGGCGGCGGACCAGCTGGCGCGCGGTCTGACGCGGCGGGGGTGCTGCGAGGGGCCGGCGGCAGCGGCCCGCGCCTGCGCCGGGACGCCCACGCCCGCGCGGGGTGGCCATCCGTCAAACTCTGCTGTGCTCTGGGAACTCGTGTTGTAAGCTCTGTTTGGAATGGCCCGCGGGACTGCCCGCCTTTGTCTCGGGAGGCGAATGCTATCCGGGGTCCGGGGTCAGCGCATCGGTTCACTCAGTGCCACCTCGGGAGAGTCGGCGTGACGCCTCCGCCAAAAATACCACTGTACTGAATAGTTTGATTATTAAATGCCGGCAATGTGTGCAGATCTCATGGGTAAAGGCGCCCACACAAAACAACAAATAACATGATTAACGTTGATCTCAAACAAGGACGTACATCAGTGACGCAATCATTGAACAAAAACGAGACAAAAGTCAACCAGGTACAAATATATAAAACGAACATGGATCACGCACCAGTTCCATGAACACGCGACCCCCTGGTCTAAAAGACTAGACAACTAAACACAGTTGGACACATCCCGGCCACATAAGCCGCAGACAAGCCGCTGCCGGCTGGAATTGGAATGCAACGCGCCGCAAAAGCAGCTGAGATCGGTTAGTTGCCCACAACCGTGCTAGCATCTTCCTCGCCGGTAATGGCGTAGCAAGCAAAGCACAGACACGCGCCTTAATAACGGCGAGTTATAAGCTTCCAAATCGTGTAAAACACTACAGATCTAGCCCACGTGGACTGTAGCTGCCACGGTTCAGTGCGATGTCGCATAATGCCCGCACCCCAAGCCAGGTAAGCCGCCGCGTGGTCCACAGCAGACAACGGCTCTTAGTACGAGCGGGCTGCATGCAGAAAGGGACTGACGGTCAGAACGCGACCGGACGCAACTCGTCGCCCGCCGCGCCGTCGAACGTCAGCACGTGACAGGGAGGACACCGCCGGGTGACAAGGACACGGCCGGACGTCGGCACAGCAGAGGGATGACGCAGCCGGGCGTCGGCACGCGACAGGGAGGACACGGCCGGGCGTCAGCACGCGACAGGGAGGACACGGTCGGGCGTCGGCACGCGACGGGGAGGACACGGCCGGGCGTCGGCACGCGACAGGGGGGACATCACCGGGCGTCAGCACGTCACAGTGAGGACACGGCAGGGCCGTGCACAAGGCGCGGACGAGGACAGCAATGCGAGGCTCTTGCGTGCAAGGCTGTCGCGATCAAAACGTCGCCGCGCTCCGCACCTCAGTCCGACGGGCAGAGCGCCACCTCAGCCCAACAGGCGTTCAAAAACGATTCCGGCCCCTGGGACGTCACGGCACGTCTCTGGCCACAGCGGCCTTAAGGGACTGATGTCAAATCGAGGACGTAAGGAAACATCGCGGGTCCCGTAAACGAAGGGAACGGTAAGCTCCAATACTGCGCATGCGCGAGGCTGGGCGGCGAGGCAGGCTCGCTGCCTCCTCCGCGTGTCGCAGCTGACCCATTAGACGCCCGAGCCGCGCGCCACAAACTGCTTGGCCGGCTCGTACAGGCGGTGGCGCAGCAGCTGCAGCTCGGGGTAGGCGCGCAGCTCGCGTGTGGTCGCCGTGTCCAGCTCGAACACGCAGACCAGCAGCAGCAGCACCAGCGCCGCCATCGTCAGCAGGGCGTACAGCAGCACGCGCAGCAGCGGCACCAGCGGCGGCAGCCGGCGGTCCGAATGGACGCTGCCGGCGCGCGCGCACAACGGCGGCGGCGGGCCGGCGCCGGCCCCGGCGCCCGGCGGCTCCGGCGGCACGCCGCGCTCCAGGCGGGTCACGACCGCTGCCGGGCGGGCAGCATCGGTCAGCGGGGCGGCACGGACGCCCGCACCGCAGCCCACCAGGTCGACACGAGCCGCCTCACAGGCAAAACTTCCATCCAGTGATCGAGAACAGCCGAATGAACGAGAACAATACAAGCCGTTGCGCAAAAGCCGAAGGGAACTGCAGTCACAATCAGACAGAGTGCACGAAATGTTTTTAGTAAAGTGCCGGATGGTCCACCGACTCCATTGACTATTTCGTCCGATACACAACCAATACACAGAGGCGACCCACCGTCCCCGCCATTTACGTCATCCCGCAGCACAAACGATGTCTCGGATATCTCATCGAACACCACAAACACGCCTTCCGACATCCCCAACCACCACGCTACCAGGGACACCACACGTTCTCCGCAGCAGCTGGCCAGCACGTGCAGTGCAGTGCGGGCGTGGCGGGTGGAAAGGGGGGGGGGGGGCGGGGCAGACGGGGGCGGGACTCACCGCAGCGCTGCGGCGAGCCGGCCGGGCCGGCGTCCAACGGCAGCGGCGGCGACTCGGTCCCCGGCTCCGTCTCCGCCAGGCCGCCGTCCTCGAACGCCCGGATCGGCGACAGGTCTGACGGCGCACACCACACGCGTGAGGACTCCGTGAGGACTCTGTGAGGACTCCGTGACAGGAGGCGCGCCACTGACAAGGCGCCGGCTGGTCACCGCTGCCGATCTGAGTCACAGGCTTCAGGGCACGACCAGGCGGGAGTCACCGGCAAAATACCAGAGCGTCGGCCCCGTCTACCCTGTCGGGGAAAAACTTCCAGAATGGTGGCCGGGAAACAGACAGCAGATTGTTGACTCCCTTGTCACACAATCAGCTGTAATATCTAACCCAGCCGCAATACAACTTACCATTGTAGGTTTCCCGCTATTTGGTGTACCAACAGGGACCTGAACGCCACTTACTGTGTTCTTCCCGTAGGCATAATACAAACCAAGCGCGTACGCCGCTAGTCAACATTCACACCTAAGCCGTCAAGGCCTAAACCACCAGATGACATCAAAGTCGCTCCCAGAGAACCATCTCAGTGCAGCCCGATGGAAGTACTGGACACAAACTCCATCCGGCCTGAAACTGAGCTCGAAGAGAGCGGAGTGAATGCTGGTCTGCTGTTCAGAAGAGCCGAATCACACACATGACGCTGGGCTGGTCCCGAAGGCGTGCGCCTTAACCCGGGCTTGGTCCAGCAGGCGGGCCACACACGCCGTCCACGCTACCACTCCCCGAGGGCGGGCCAGCCCGTGGCGCCGGCCGCGGCCGGCCGGTACGCGCGCCCGTGAGTGGTGCGGCAGGGCCGGGGCCGTACCGGGACTGGAGGGCGGCGTGTAGTCGGCGATTTCGCTGAGCGGCTGCAGCAGACGGCCGGCCTCGTCCGTCGGCGACACCATCATGGCCTCGTCGTCGGCCAGGCTGGTGTGCTCGGGGATCGGCGAGTCGTGCGGCAGCCGAGCCGGGCCGCAAGCTGCTGGAGCCGGCCGGCAGGTGTCAGTCCGGCCCGGACACGGACCCACACAGGCATGTACGCGTGTACCGCACGAGGACGCGCACGCGTCGAGAAAACCTCGCGGGAAAGCAACTGGAGGGGCGGCGTCCACTCCGGGGATGAAGTCATACGACCTTGGCCGGCGACCTATGTGAACTTTCAAGCGTGATGTTTAGGGATATCTGATCAAGGGTACTCATCACGGAAGGGTTTGTGATCAAATACAACGGCAGCTATTCTCTTTAAAGAGCACGCACGCACGCACGCACGCACGCACGCACGCATGCACACACCCATACACACACTGCATATGCCAACACGGACGTATGTACCTGCTCATTAAGTACAAACATTGGAGAACGCATGAAACGATTGACATGCTCACCAACAAACACCAAGGGCGTCCTGGAATAGACAATTTTGTGGACCCGCTCCGTCCAGCCCGGCACGGACAGGTGTCCGGGTACCGGGAGTTTGTTAGTTCATCCTCCGACGACAGTTCGAACGTGCAGTGACTCTAAGATCTGGAGATCCGCAGTGTCTTAAGCTGTCGCTGAAGTTGATATTTTGAAGATGGTATTGCTTGCACTATGCTCCATTACTGCGTGCCGATCCTCCATGTGTTCTAGCGGTGTGTACGCTCTCCCTGAACGTGCGTCTCAGAGGTGGTCATTGAATTGGCCAATAATGCTACGGTTTGTTTCCCCCCCCCCCCAATAAAATGTCCCTCGGCCCAGGATACAAGTACTTATATGCTGCGCTCTTCTGTGTGGAACATTAAAGTGACTACGGATGCTACGGTTTGTTTCCCCTCAATATAATGTCCCTCGGCCCAGGTTACAAGTACTTGTATGCTACGTTCTTTTGCACGGAACATTAAAGTGACTACGAATGCTACGGTTTGTTTCCCCTAAATAAAATACCCCTAGGCACAGGTTACAGGATATCTTACATACTACGTTCGATAGTAAACAAGGCAATGTTCTTCCGTGTGGAATACCCAATTCATTCAACAGATGAACTTTGAACTTAAAATGCCAAAACACCAGAAGTTGAAGGCCTTTCTTCTCATATGAAACAAGGAAAGATTAGTCTTCCAGAGCCTGATGAACCCCTCCAATATCTGTACCGTGGCTACGCTGACGGCGGCAGCTGTCCTGACCTGGGAACAGGGGTGTCCCAGTGAGTGGTGGGGGGGGGGGGGGGGGGGGAGGGGGCGGCCGCTCACCTGACGAGCTCTCCTGCGAGTCGCACGGCGTGGCCGGCACGCTCTGCGCCTTCCGCCGCACGGACGGCCGCAGACCGTACCTGTCGGCCACACGGCGCCGGTCAGTCGCGTCCCGGCCCAGTGCCGACGGACGCCTGCGCCGTCGGCGGAACCGGCTGGCACGAGCCGTCTCCCGGTGCTCTCAGTCGAGACATCATCAGAAGGACAGCCCCGCCCAATACTCACACAAGGAACACAGCGCTGAACCCACACAGACCGTCGTCAATTAGGGACAGAATACCTTCAGATGGTAAGCGGAGGGGGCGCAGGTCTGGAGACTTGAAGGCCGTCTCCAGATGGCCATGATTAACCGCACGGCTCGCGATTCTTCTGACCGCAACCCACACGATACACCCAAAGATGCAATGCACCAACCAAATAGTAATGCTATACATGGTTAGGTGTGAATGATGTGACCAACTGACGGCCTTGGAAGGGCATCCACGCCGATACAGCCAACGCCACACATCAACATCAAATATCCTTGCATGACAATGCCAGTACCCTTTCACCCATGGCTGAGGTGTTCCGCCATTAGCTGACTACCGCGCGGTCTGACCGCCTCCGACAGCCAGTCCTCCAGCCAGCGGGGCCCGCGTCGGCCAGGTGGGCTCACCTGTTGAACTGGGGCGGGTCGCGGCGCACCGGCTGCCGGCACACCTCCCTTTCGGTGCGGCCCGAGAAGCGCACGCGCGAGTGGCGCGAGAACAGAGAGCCGCCCAGCACCATGCGCGGCGCGCTGCGTGACGACTCACACCTGCCGGCGCGCGCACGCACGGGTCAGGTCAGGTCAGGTCAGGCCAGGCCAGGCCAGGTCAGACCAGGTCAGGTCATGTCAGGTCATGTCAGGTCATTCACATCAGGTCAGGTCAGGTCGGGGCCTGGCGCGGCTCGCGCCCGCAGCACCCTCCGCCGCCGCCGCGCGGAGCTCGGGAGCGTCCGCGGACATCAGGGTGCCAGAGCACGGGTGACGAGCCGGGCCGCGGGTCGGCCGGCGCCTGACACACCGAAGGCGGCGTCACAGCCGGCGTCAGTCTCCGACGGCCGCTGATGACAGGCGCGGCGGCGGCACGGCGGCGGCTGGCGGCACCCTCGGACGGCGACGCCGTACTCACGTGAAGAACAGGCGGTGTTCGGTGGCGTCCCGCCAGAAGTGGCGACACTTCTGCACCGAGTCGCTCTTGTAGCCCACCGTCCGCTTACTCTGCAGAACGCCGTCGGCGTCAGTGCCAAGCCGGCCGACACACGTCGAGGCCATGTGCAGCAGCGCCCACTCTCAAACCAACCACAAACCAGCAGCCTCGCATGCAGCGGTGTATGTACACACGGCACAGGCAAGTGCTGATCGGCGTTAAAACGACCGCGTCATAGGATGGAGCATATGGTCCAGCAAATTTCGCCAGTGTTCTAGGTAGCGGCTGGTAGCCTAACCACAGACTGAGGTCAGCAGCGATGTAGAATATTCGATCTTATGACTGGGTCCATAGCGCCATACATGCTTGATTAGGCAATGTAATTGCATGTTCGTGTTGCACTTTGTGGGCCATGGGATAAGTTACATAAATACTGATCGCACCAAAGGCATCTCATTCTGCACTAAAAATGTATCTGGGCGATCTAAAGATTTTGAGACCATTATCTAACCTAGCATTATCTATTACCTATCTAATTAGCGAGTAAAATTGTCATGGTATCTCGTAATCTACTTTCGTAGTAGCTGCCTATGCCTTATTTCCACCGCATATTTGGGGTACGGTGCAATCAAATTACATGACTTGTGGGGAACATGAGTACACAAGCCATGCGAAAACTGTCATTGCACTACATCTATCATGTCCCTCATTAAAGATGAGTGTACAACTCCCTCCTTTACCACATCAGCGCCTATTCAAAATCGTCATCGTAATTTTCTTATCCGTCTAAAACCGCATTCAGCTGCTTGGTGACCGTGAAACCGTATTTAGCTACTCTGCTTTGCCCATTCATCTCGCGTAGTTGCGTTGTGGTACTTGACGAATGTTACAGAAACCTCAAATGCCGCCGGTTGCAAATCTGGAGCGCCGATGTCTAAGCCTACGATGCCTAAGCGTCACACAAAAACACATCACATAGCAGCAAACCAAGGAATCTGAACAACACCACAAGCCAATCACGCTGTCGCAACCCAGCCTGGGGCACCAAGGAACTGAAAAAAAAACACGTCGGAGAACGTCGTTAAATACGACCACACCTCTAGACGATACGAACCCGGCCCACAGAGCCACAGCAAACCGTCTGCACACAAACGCATACCGGTTCCGGATCCCGCAGCGCGCGGGTCACCGACCTTGGTTCTCGAGTCCTCGACGAACACCAGGTGGACGATGAACATCTTGTTCTCGAAGTTGAGCTTCTGCACGTCCTGCCAGCGGAAGAGGTGGGAGCGGCGGCCGTCCTGGATGACGGAGATGCCGCGGTAGTTGAGCCCCAGGCTGACGGGCCGGCCGCACTGGTCCTGACAGACGAGCACGCACCGCCACCGTCAGGCGATCCAGTCACGCGTGGCGCTCACGTGAGGGCCGCGCCTGTCGCGGAGTCCTCCCGGTGAGCTGGTGAGATGTCGAGCACGGCGAGCGTCTCACCAGCTCACCGCCCGCTCTGTCGCCCCGCGGCCAGACGTGCCACCCACTGACAGTCCTCCCGAGTCAGGCAGCTCCGCAGCGAGCCGCGTGCACCCGACAGCGGGGCGCGCCGGCCGACCGGTGGAGCGGGGACGCGCCAGCCGGTGGGTCATGACTGAGGACAGCCATGCGCTGGATATCGTCCGGTCCATGGGAATACTGGATGCGATGCCGCCTCGTCATATCCGAGGCACACCACATCTATGGACGGTGCACGAAGTCGGATGAATCTCAGGACCTGCTCTCTGAATACAGGGTCTCGTTCCACAGTGAGGGCCCGCCACTTGTCCAGCATCCCAATGCGAGGCGCATCACATGACGTGTGGAGACAAAGTACATGTCAGCCAACTCAGATGTGCATGGGTTCTCTCCACAACAGACATGGACGCGGGACCCCCTGAAGGCCCGCGTGCCCGTGCCGGCCGCCCACCTTGAAAGGCTGCGGTCGGAGCCCGTACAGCTCGAGCTGGGCGGCGCGGCGCAGGAGCGCCAGCTCGGCCGGCGCCGGCAGCAGGCCGCGCATCTGGCAGCAGTGCAGTTCCATGGCGCGCTCCTCCAGCCGGCTGCTGGCGCGCGACACCAGGCAGTAGTCCGACGCGTACCGGCCGCGGTGCTCCTCCGGGTCGTAGTCGCCCGTCTCCACTGGCGGCGGCGGCACGGGTCACGGGTCAAGTCAGTGATCGGACCCGTCCACGCCGGTGGCGCCAGTTGGTGCGCGAAGCCTGTCTCCAGCGGCAGCCGACGACACATGGCGTCCGAGAAGTGACGCGCGTCCACCGTGTTGGGACGCCGGTCCTCGGCGCCGGCCAAAGACGACGCGAGGACGATGACAGACACGAGCACGGGCCAGGAGGCCGGCACAGCCAGGGACAGGCGGCGACTAACCACGCCCAGAACGCCTGCACGGCCTGGGGGCCATGTGACACCTCCCCTCCCCCCAGCTGTCGTCAGCCGGCTCGCGGCGGCCCACCTTGGAGGACGAGGGCGGCCAGGTGGGCGGCCTCCTCGTCGGCGCAGGTCAGCCGGCCGCCACGCAGGTCCCGCTTCAGCTGCAGGTACACCTGGTACCGGGTCAGCTCCTCCTGCAGCCGCTCCGGCCAGCCCGGGTAGAACTTGACCCGGAAGCTGAACACCATTGGCCACATATCTGACGGCACGCGCGCACGGTCCGGTCGGAACGCGGCCTCGCAGGTACGCGGTCGTGCTGGTGCGGGGCACCCGTTCAGTACAGGGACACTGTTACCAGTGCGGAGGCTGTATGTGCACTCCTCGGTTCTGCGCTGTGTAATGAAGCTTAATGATTGCTACATGGTTTAACAGTGGTGACGTGAAGTTTTTCAAATCGATATGTTTCTTTGCATATGGGACAAATTTTACATGTTGGTTTGAATTTGAACTATTGACCTCTCATCCCTTCTGAAGTTATCCTAGTCCTCACCTTTAACTTGCTTCAAGATAGGTTTCGTCGGCTCTAGCCATTGCTGGAAAGATAAAACCGTCAATGCCCTGCCATGCCAGCTATCTTATACCACAGGCATCTGATCCAGAAGCAGAGACTTTTGACATGGTGACAAACACAGACCATTATGCAATATATGATACAGCTTCATAATCAATGTAACACCAGTCAACACTTATTTAGAGAACAGCTGGGTGGGTCACAAACACCTATTGGATATTAATATATTCAGTGATCATATGACATCATCAATGAAGTATTAATGCTACATGGTCCACTTTCACCACCTTAGTTCTGAGCTCTGCAGAGCCTTGATAATCTGTCATAGCTCAGTTGAAGGGGGATAGAAAAGGGCATACCTTTGTCTTATTACAGTCCTCAAAGCTGAGGCAGAAGTACTCTTTCTCCACCAGGTCCAGATGGGCACACACCTGGTCAATCAGGTACTGGCCAGTCTCCTTGCCCTGCCATGCAAGTTTTGGTAAGACCTCAGAATCATACAAAAACAGCAACAATACATCTGCTATGCAGTCCAGCCTAAAGTTGCTGAGGAATCAGGGTGCTGAAGAACTACAAAGATGTTGTGATGCTTACAGCACCATGCCACTGGAGAGAGCACTATATCATAGAAAATATTACACTTCAAATCAAAGATCTGCAGTTCATCTGAAATGAACAGACCAGAGATGTGGAAAAGAAAGATAGCACTCACCAGAAACTCACACTGGAGTATTTCTGAATCATCCAGCAATCTCACTGTACACTTGTAGGCATACTTCTTAGCCTTTGAGGACAAAAATGGCATGATTTTTCTTATTTGAAGTACTTCTTTGGCCAGCTGATATAATCAACAGCCTTGGTGGGAAACAGGTTATGGCATTAATGATGTAACATGCAAGCCACTGCTCAAGCAACAAGACCTGTCAAGTTCAGCTGAAAAGTTCACAATTACATCAGGTGATAAATCCAAAGCAGCAACATAAATGGGCCAAACTAGCAGTCTATGGTGTGGCCACAAAAACCTTCAAATCAAACCCAGAATGATCACTAACTAGCTCCTAGCACATGATCTTACCAACTAATGTGAGTCTGGTGACCCTGGATTACAAACATGACCTTCATGTAGGTAGGCATATGTACAGGGTGGTATGGTACCTGTCAGATATTATAATTCATTGGCCTAATTAGTTTCAACACTTCATGTCATATTCACCAAGCATATTCTTAGGTCATCACATTGAGCTTCAGTTGTTAAAAGACCATGTAGGTATGAACATTGCAGACTGTAACAATATCAAAAAACCTATCTAGTTTTGAAACAGCATTACCATCTGACTTGCATCAATGGGTTTTGCCAGCCCATTCCTTTGATACTGGATATTATTCTGATTATTTCAAAATTGGCAGATCATGTTGCAACATTACAGTCACATCCCATGAGTGAGCTTGTTGTTTTGATTTTCCCCAATACTTTATTATGGTAAAACCACCTGACCCCATGACCCCCCTGACCACTATGACCCCTGACCCCATGCCCAGACATAAGGTCATCAGACATGGAAAAATTAGCTTATTATAGACTGGTTATACACAAATCTCACAGTTTTACACACCAAGTATAGTCAGGTGATCCCACTTCTACAAACCAAGAAGGCCAGGGACTCTTGCACATCAAGCAATGCATCAGTACACAAAGAAAGCTTTGTCCACCAAATAACAAGCTAGTTTCTGAGCAATACAGTATCCCATCTCCATGTGCACACCAGCATAGCGCACCATATGAGGAAGATTACATCACTGGGCACTGCATACTTATGTCCACTCAATGACTGCCTGTATGAGTGAATGTCTAGCACATAAGTCATAGTGATCAAGCCTATACATTTAAACCCAGCCATTTATTCTCATTAAGTTGGCTCTAATAGCAAACACATGCAACACCATGCAGACTATTACCTGGCATATTTCAAGACAAATGTAGTTTTGCTTTCCCGCACTCATACAGATGATGCACACTTTTGACACATGAACATGCTTCCAAATACAATTCAGGATGATGTACTGACCTAGAGATAACAAACATTATGCTCCATGTTTGAGATACATTCATTGCATTACATTCCATACATTACATACATTGCATTCCAGGGACATCAAATTATTAAAAATTTGAAGACCACACCATTTACATTGAGCAGTGACACTGATTGATCACAACAATGGTAGCAGAGGAGTAAATGGTAAAACAAGCTGAGCTTTCCAATAGAGCCTTGTTCCCTCATTATTTCACTGCCAACATCTGGAAGTTGTCCCCTTACACTATTAGCTCTCGTGTCCCCCCCCACCCCCCAAGTCCAATACTGGACCCGCCCTACCTGGGCGAAACCAGGAAATAGGCGTGTACTGTTGCGACTCCGGATTTATTTTCCATTTCAATCATGCAAGATTAAGTGCAGATTTAAAAAAAAACATTGCAAAGACAGCGCGACGGCATCATTTCGGCGACCTATTCGCACCACCCACCTCCCGCCTCTGCATCCTCCACCCCCACTTCCTGCTTCGCGCAGTAAATAAAGCAATAGTAGATTAGCTACATTGTCACCGTCGCGCCACAGTAACATCGCCAATAGAAATGGACATCAATGCTATGGATGATTTAACGTATTTACTGAAAAGGGGTAGAGTTAAGTCACCTACGGCTATTAAACATGAATTATTTACTTAATTAATATCGTTTCAGGTCAAATAAATCAGGCTAGGCATCTTAATCTCGAAAAACACGGTTTCTAACCACCGTCCAGCACTTTTATTGAGGGATATTATGCGCGGCCATGACAGAAGTGGCGTTTAGTATGACCAAATTGTATTACACATTTGTAGGCATATTGGCCTTGGGCATATTAAACACTGCATGCAAAGCTTGTCTGTAAGCAGGGTTCTGGTTGAGTGTTAAGTCGTTGAACTATTGTTCCAGATATATTTTACTCCTTCATTTCTCATGGTGCTTGGTAGGTATGTAAAGTTCACAACGAAGATCCACTTTTGCTTTGTTATGTATCTTCAAGCTTGTGTTACTTATCTTTCTAATCACCTCCAACCCAAATTTGGTATGGAAGTCACGGCTCCTTTTCAGAGCAAACTTAAAGCACAGGTCATCGTCAAGCCATTTTTGTGGTGAAAAAGTGATTGAGATGCTGAAAAGTGCTTCCTGGTTCTCTTGTGATTGTTTTGTGCTGGTTTACATTGCAATGTGCAGTTTGACAAGTCAGTACTCTCAGATATGCCAAGGCCAAAAGCTTACATCATTGCATCCAGTCTGCATGTTGATTAGGTCAGCTATGATGTTTTTTATGCTATCTTTCTCTTTGCATATTGCAGTTAACCCTTCAAGACTCTTGCTACAATGGAGTTTGCTGGGTCCTGGCTTGCTGGCATAATTAATCTTACATGGAGGTGATAGGAATGGAAGAGGTGGGAGGGCTGCCAGAGTCAGCCACTGGTGCCACCCTGTCAAGCCAGTCCTCTACAGTGCCGTCGCCATCTGGCCGCCCCCGTTGGAGGAGCCGTGTCGGCCGGCCACCAGTGCGCCGTCAGTACCCCTGCCTGCGTGGTGGCGCGCCTCAGCTGGAGACGCTGCCCCAGCTGCTGGAGCTCCTGCCAGTCAACTACAACTACCACGTGTGTAGCTTCCAGCTGCTGTCTGAGGGGTTCGTCGCCACACTGCGCGTCAACTTCTGCTCAGAAGCGGGCGCGCGGACCTGGCTGGCGGCCTTCCAGGAGAGCAGCCTGGGGACGTTCCGCAGCCGGCGCACCTTCCCGCGGCCCGGCCCGCGCCTCCTCTACAAGGCGTGGTATCGATGCCAGCGTAACGTGCCGGGCGCGGCGGCGGGCGCTGGTCGGCACACGGCGTGTCCGGCAGCGCTGGCCGTCTCCGTCTGCTCGGACCGACTTTCGCGGCGCGCCGACCCGCACCTGCCCGACTCGCCCGGCTGTGTGGAGCTCAAGCACGTGCACAACCACCCGATCCGGTGCGCCGCTGACCTGCGCTTCCGCGACGTGTCGGTCGAGGCGCGCGCCGCGCTGCTGGCGCTGTTTGCGCGCGGGCACGCGCCGGCGGCGGCGCGGCGCGCGCTTCAGCACCAGCTGCAGCTGCAGCTGGGTGAGCACTACCCGCTGGCGGCGGCAGACCGCGCCGTGCTGCCCTCGCTCAAGGACGTGTGCCGCATCTACTACCAGCAGTACGGCGCACCGGCCGAGCGCCGAGGTGCCGCCGACGCCGACGCCGACGCCGACGCCGACCTCGACCTGGAGTCGCCGGCGGCGGCCGAGGCGACCGACGACCCTCGTCTCCTGGTGGTGGAGTTCACGGCCGAGCCCGGCACGCCGGCAGCGGAGTCGGCAGTGCCCGCTTGGGCGGACGGTGACGGGGACGAGGAGGAGGTGCCGCCCCTGGCGAGCCTGCTGGCGGCCCGCTCGGTGCCTGCGACCGGCCCGCCCGGCGGTCGTCTGCAGCAGCTGGTGGCCGAGTACACGGCGGCCATGGCGGGCGCCGGCGCGGCCGCGTTCCGGCTCGTGGACGGCGGCTTCGCGGCGGCGCTCACCACGCCCCTGATGCGCCGTGTACACCGGCTGATGCCGCAGAGCGGCGAGCTGGTGTTCGTCGACTCGGCCGGGCGC